TTGTGTGTTTTACGGATGTATCAATTAAATGAGAAGAAATAAACTATTTTCTTGTGTTTTTATTACGATTAGAAAGTTTAAAAAGTATTCTTGCGTGGGATGAAAGCCCGCAATTACGTATAGAGAGGCAGAATCCGTTACAAGGCGGAATTTATCATCGAAAGCTACGAAACTGAGAAGGCCGCTTTTATCTGCAGGCGCACAAAGACAGGAGCAGCGATCATTTCCTCTAGGTCAAAGCAATTTAAATATTCCGCTAAATTTGTAGTTTCCAATAAACAAAGCCGGCATCCAGAGGCAATAAATTTGTTTTTATCCAATGAATATCTCGTTGGTGGTAAGATATTAGTGGTGAGGTTGCAATATATACAGGGGCCGTGTCAGTATATCAGATGATTAGTGGTAACGTCCCTGTTGGTAGCCCTGGAAACGTGGAATTGGATTAGGACGAAGGAGCAGCAGCATTGCTGGTCCTTGATTCTAATATCATAGCGAGGATATTGATTTACACCGGGGCCTATCTCGGTAAACAAATCTTGCAAAGGATATGACACACTGCGTCACATCTGCATTTCATCAAATATTCCCTCGATTTATGCATACATTTCACTTTTACGGCTAGAATTTTATAGCGACACAAACGCCTAAATCGATATTTAATCCCAGATGCGCAGGTGATATCTTTGTGCCTTAAACTAAAAAGACGGTTTAGCGTATCATAGTGGAAGTTGAAATATTAACCGCTTACTTATCACTTTTGACAAGCGACAGCGAGAATGGATGCTTGGAAATATCCGAGACGAGAGAAAATAAGAATGCAGTCTACGCTAAAACTCGATTCAAACAATGCGGGATTCTTATTATTGACATCCTATTTTCGATGTGATAAGGTTTCACGCAATTTTTTCACATCCATTTAGAACCAAAACAACATCTCTTCGTCTACAAATCAATCCAAATATAACTGCTAATCACCAATTCCTTTGTGCTGTTCTCCGTTTACCATCTTTAATTTGGAGACAAATCGACTAATGAAAGTTTCATAATTTCAAAATATTTTAACATCATTTTCAATGCCTATAAATTAGATTTTCAGTCTCAATTAGTTCTATCTTATATTCCCTCTTTAATTATAAATAAAGCTTAAACATTTAGCTGCAAATGAAATGTTCATGTCTTATTTCTTTCAAGATTCACTACAATTTTTTTCTCAAAAGTTATGGTAATTTAAACGAATCGGACTACTTATTTAGGCAATAAGAAGCTTCAATAAATCTTACGTGTACAAAATACATAATTATGTCCTTAAGGTGTGTTTTACACTTTTGTCATAGAATCACTCATTGTGAGAGATATTTTTGGAGTCAAATGTAACTGGAATAATCATATTTTATGTTTATTGCCCCCGTACTTTTAACATAAAAATTTGATCGTATTATTATAATATTGCAGACATCCCGCGTAACATTATGCAGATGTGATAGTTGGATATATTTAAGTTGAAGCTCTCCCATGAAATAATAATGATGAATGATAAGATTTACGACACTGAGCTTGTATTCAGACTACTTTAGTAAATTAAAACGTATTCAGAGGCGCCTTTCACTAAAAATGTCTACTACACGCTTGTTTTAGCATCTAATTAACTAATGCCAGGCAGCTCGTTAGAAAATCAATTTGTATTGTTAAAAATAAAGGCGACCGTTGTAAAGATATCGAATTTCTCGAAAGCATTTCCATATAAAATGTAACCGGATATTTTAATTCCAAAAGGATAATTTATTAAAAGAAAATAGGATGGGAAAAATGGCCTGTCATAACAGCACAATACCCCAAGAGGGAAGTTATTCAAACCATATTATGCAGGGATTTTGTACACTAAAGAGCTTTTTATTTCCAAACTAAAACATTACGTATTCCTTTTTATGACTTTATTGTATATTAATAACGGAGAAAAAGCACGATTCATATTTACGTGCCAGTAGCAACCCGTTTCAAACGTATCCATTTACTAATGTCTGTGCAGTGTGAAGCCAATGTCGGTTTCTATTTATGTTGAAAATTGGAAAGCGATTCATCAAACTGTTTATTTAATTATAGATTGCGGCTGCACTTAATTAAATTCGTGTTGACTCGAATGTGCCACCATTACATTAAATTTGCACTTCGTCTGAATCCCGAAATATGAATAGCACAGTTCTAATTAAAAGAAATATCCAAACACTCGCCCGGCGCCTCCACCGAATTGACTGCATGCAAGAAACAACATCTTTCGAAAAAGCCGTTCCCAATTCAATTATCCGACAAGTGGCGATATGTGATGCCATATCCCAGCAGAAAGTGCTTTGATCTCGACTTGTGTTCTAAAATATGCCGAGAATTCGAATTACACGCCGGCAACATCTGCAATAATCAAACATGCAGATTCGCGTCGATTCTCAGCACAAACTTGCCACTTTGGCGACATTTTGCGAGTCGGTCGGTTATGGCGTTGCAGTCTTTCCGGCGTGCGGCAGCATTTAAATGTCAAATACGTTGCTATTGACAGACGGATTTGATGAGCGCCGCGACGCGCCGCTGCTAAATTACTTGGTACGGTTGCCCTCGCTTCGACACGACTACAATTGCCATATTACGTTTAAGACGATGTCTTCGAGGATTGGCTCCGTTTCACTCCGGAATTTGTATGCGGAGGGGAGGTGATGGATTATCTGTTATGCTCGGATAATTTTAATATGGATTTAACAAATATATACCAACATGAAGGCGAAGATTAATCAAATTGAGGGATTGTCATATTCACACAATTTACACTTTCCTTGACAAAAATCTTGATTAGAAAAAAATTTCAAAATTTATCTTCTGGTGTCCCAGAGATACAAAGCATTGAAAAAGACGTTGCTTTTCTAATGTTACTAAATATTCGTTCAGAAAGTAGGCTACATAAAAAGGTAGTTAAACCGAAAATTATTGGCTATGGCACCAAAGAAGCACAATTACGTTTTTGAACACAAAAAATATAAAAACTTAGTACTTCAAAGGATTACAGCAAGAAAATGGTTGATTTTTGGAAACTTCCATGCGTCTATTTTAACGTTTTGGCACATTCGGCCTACTTAATACGAACAATTCATTGAAATTCGAAATGTAATGGTTTTTTTGGAGGTTTGTATTTCTCATGTCTCAAGAATTAAAATTATGGGAAATGTGGTACATAACTCAGAAAAGACTGGGTAATAATCTGAAATCAGAAAAAACTTAAGTTTGTCTCTGTGGCACACCACAGCTCAATCAATATAAAAGACAGTAAAAAAAACAGTGCTTTCATCTTTTAGGTATAACATTTACAAGACAAAACTGGAAATGTTATTGAATTAAATTACAATGTTCTGCAATCTTCATTCTTTAATCCAAACAAAAATTCGTTGAAATCCGACAAAGAATAACAAAAATATTGCAATGTGAAAAATCGCAAAATTTTAGTTGTCCGGTTAATTTTGGCGGGCAGTGTACAAAGTTAAGTATCATAAACAAGGCTGCACTGAACAGGTAATTCTTGCAAATTGGAACTAATTTAAAATTAATAAAATGAATAATGAGTTATTAAATTTAAAAATACCAAACCCATAAAATAAAGACCAATTTCATTTTATACTAAACATAACAGTGTTTTTTGATCAGAATATAAATCAAGCTTTAAATAAATTGTCATTAATTATAAAGCAGGAAAAATGCAAGTATTATAAACAAACTATAATTATACACCCATAATATCAGAGCTTTTAATATTTGATATTATCCATTTATGTCGTGCAATCAAAATAGATGTACATGCAAAGAACGTCTGCCATTATCACTGATTGATAATAGAATAAAAATTAAAGTTTTTTAGAGTAACAATAAATAATTTTTTTGAAAAATGTTTCTTTTTGCAGATAAATACTGGTTTTAGAGAATTTATCAAAATGAAATAAGTTAGTAAAGTAATCAAATAAAATAATGAGCCACACCTTCTCTTGTTCCTAAATAAAATCTTGATTATTAAAAATAAAATTGTGTCCGGAAACTTACAAGTGTTTTCATATGACAAAACATCCAGTGTTACTTTGACACCGAGATAAGTTAAACATAACACAGCTAAATTGTTTAATAAAACTACGAATGACATGTGAAACGTAATTAAAACAAACTAGCAACTACAAACTCAGCACAAATTGTGTAAAACCCAAAACTTGTTAAATTTCCTTCGTCTTGAATATTTTAGCAGAGAATATTTTGTACAAATTTAACATTTTTAAGCATAAATAAATTGGGACATTAAGTAAATTAAATATTATTATTAAATAAATGTTATTTTATTAATTGATCCATTTATGTGAGATGTCAATATTTACATAGAAAATATTATTTGGTCCTTTTCTCTCAAATTGTTTATTTAAAGTACTACATACATGTTTCGGCCAAAAATTGGACAAAATAAAAATCATTTTGGCTATTTTTTTTTAATTTGCGGAATACTTGCAACATTACAACTACGTGATCGGATTTGACAATAAAGACATTTAAAGTAATAAACGCAGATTGCAAACTTGAGATAAAACGAACTAATTAGGACAGTTCCTTCAGGTTGATATAGCCGTATAATAGACGTCTACTGTAATATCATGTAACTATTATTTTTTTAATATTATAATTTTTTTCAATTAAATTCGCAAATAATTTAACGCTATGATAAACAAACAGGTTCTAGCACAGATCAATAAAAATTGGCGTAAAGTTTACAATTTATGTAATAACTGTACCAATTTAATATACTTTTATGGCATTATTATGTTTGTTTAGTTTTTTCTTGTAAATGAGATTACCTCTAAAATTATAACAAGATGTTAGGTATACCTGTTAAAGTCGTTTTACGTTTATGAAGTTATGGTAGACAGTGGCAATTACTGTTGAGCAACCTGTCGTGAAAATTTTAAAGAAGACAAAGTGTAAATTCTTACCTTAATAAACCTTTTAGCCTTCGTTAAAAGTCCTAGTGTTGTGTGTCTAGATGCTTCGGGACCCAGCGGTACTATTTCCTTAAGTATTTCTAAGCAGTTTCGCAGATGTGCGCGCCTGTAAACAAATGATATCGTTACTTTTGTGCTGTTTCGGAAACATTTTGCAACTGATCCCGCTTTAAAAATTGCAACAGACAATTCTATTATAGCAATTGAGAAAATACGGGAATTTTCCAAGCATTTCTTTTTTCTGCGGACGCGATTAAGAAGATGAGCTCTCTAATTGGAGTAGGTAGATAATTGAAGAATGAATAGGAGCCAATTTGCAAATCAGCGTGTAGTCGACGAACAGAAGCTTGTGGGTTTGAATAATATGATTTTTTCCGCAAAGCTGCCATTCAAATCTGGCTTTTAAAATCGGAGAAAGAAAAATAATTAATCAAAATTCTACACAGCGAATTCATGTAACGACAAAAAGCAATTTGCATGAAAAAAGTAATCTTGAATACGACACAGATATATAAATTTAATGAGAACATTTTCCGCTTGTATGTTGCTTGCTTTTGGCCCTTGTTTACGGAAAGAGAAATTCGTAAAGCAAGTAAATCATCGTCCTGAATAATAACGACTTTTATTTCTCTATCTCAGATCAAAAAATGCTTTCCTCCGACGCGACGCTAACAAATTACTAAACCAATTTATATCGAAAATGGAAAAACCAAAATGCAATTTTTGAAAAGTGTGTTTCTGTGTAGATAATGCAAGACAAAAGGTTTTAGAACCTCTAAACACATATCATGCATTTTTAAAAATAGTCACAGTTATGTACGTTATTAATGTTTCATGGGTTTGCAACCGACAGAAAACGAACCGCGTTGAAATCAAGAGATTGCCTGTCGCTTCATATTACCACGAATGTGAAACTTTATGATGGGAAAAGTATGAGCCGACGCGTACTCCACCCTAAATTTGATGAATTCGGAAACGCCTGGATTTCGTTTCAGTAAAACTCTCTCCCGACTCAAGAGAATTTAATCAATTATTTGTTTTCATTTCGTAATTAAATTAATAACCTTATTATATTGACATAAAAAACGCACGCGAATCCACTCAAAAAACACTCTTTCTTTAATTATTTTCAGGAATGATCAATATCGAATCTAAAAACAGAAACTCAATCCTTTTATTGATTTACTCGCTAACTAAACAGTTTGAAATTTCACCTTAAAAGTTGGTTACGTGGAGAACTTTGATAGAAGAATGAACCTAATAAAAACTGACTCGAGTTGAGATCTTTTCGTGCATGCAATTTTGTTGAAGTGTCTATCTATTCGATGCCAACTATTGCATACAATAAGAACGTTTTATAGATCAAACTGCATTTTATGCTAGCTGACAGACAATTTAAAATATCTTGAAACATGAATAGCGGTGAAATAATTTGATATCCTGAAAGCTCAGGAAATTTTCAGAGGCATTTTTCAAACACACGGAATTCCTTATTTGCAAGTTGCATGCAATTTCCATCAAACGTACAAGTCGAAAGCCGGTGCAACGTGCAATTTTCTTAACACTTTCTGTGCCAACAAGTGTCTAAACATAAACATTGTTTTCTGGGAATTTAAACATCACAAAGGGCGTTCAAAAATATCTAATTTGTTAGTGATTAGTGATTGATGAAATTCTCGTCTCGTGGTGTGATGGCATTTAGCATTTTGCGCACGAAATTCATTTATTAATGTGTAGTGTAGTCTTGGCCGTTGTCAACTCTGTCAATATAGGTGCGATAATGTTCGGGTAAGTTTTCCGGCTGTAATAACACCTCTGGTGAAATAAGGGTGCGTGATTTAAAATCGAAATGTCAAAGAAAATGCAATTAATTTAGCAGTTAATAACGCACGCGAGCAGGACGGTGACATTTATTAGATTGACATCCGGCGCAGTATCGCCAGACCACGCCTCCGCGCCATTGCGGCATTGTTCATTGTATTATCAAATGGAATACACGGCCGACACGATCGCATTGTGTCGTTTGTTAATTATAAATTGATCCCTTTCAATCCTTGGTATAGTATTCTTCATAATCTCGGCTCCCGATCCGCTTTCAGCTCGTTAAAAGAATGTTCTAACTGATCAATCTCGTAATACTGTAAATGACCAAAATAAAGAAGCACGTGCTATAATAACGTGACTCGCTAAAACTAATTTAAATTTTACACAAAATAGTTGTTTACGCAGCTACAGTATGTCCCCGGATTGAGTTTACAAGAGAAAATAAAATTATCTTTGATTTTACGCCAAAACTACAAAGGAAAAACATTTTTGGCTTTACTTGAAACCAGCAAATCTGTGATTAAAACTTTATTATTCTAAGTCAGTAGAAAGAAAAGTTCATTTTTCTCTTGATTTTGGACTTAATTTTTCTCTGCTTTTTAAGTCCTATCACATTAGCCGTTTTATTGTTTTGACAATGATGTCACTTTGACAAATGAGTTTACGCAAGTTAAATAACAAAAATGTTTGTGAAAAACGTAATTTTAATAAACAGCAACTCAAAGAAACAGCTTTAAAATGACATATAGTTGTCAAATAAATAAAACCGCCAATGTGATAAAACTTAAAAAAAAGAGAAAAAATATTAAAAAGGGGTTCCGTCTAAACCCAACATTACATTACGTTATTAAAAGTATTGGGAGTTCGAATAATCATATTTGTTTGAAAATTGGTACATACTCATAATCCATTAAGTCCTCCTAAATGAAAATATTTTCAAGATGGCAGCACTTCCGGTTATACCGGAAGTCGGTCTCAACTTTCTTATTTTAATGGAAAGGTAAATTTTTTACTGCGTTTTTGGATTAATCGGATTATTTTAAGGGAGTTTTTTAGCTTTCCCTATACTTAAATTTAGCCGTTTTTGAAATATTTGGAGTTTTTCAAAAAAATTTAGATCTGCACCTTCCACTTTAAAAATCGGTAACTCTGCTATTTTTTAAAATTTTGAATTCGTTTTTCTCACTTGTTAGCTTTAAATAATAATCGCATGGATAATAATTAAGTTTGCATAACTTTGATTCTTCATATTTTGGCACTATTTGTCAAATAGTAATTTGCTGTTGACGTTTGTTTAGAGAAAATTTTGACATTTTTTATTTCCATAGCAAACTATGTGAAAACCGGTGTGGCTAGTAATAAATTTTCTGTAGTCTTAACAAAAAATCCATAACTTGAAAATTATTAAATTTAGGTTTAGGAAATGTTAATACAGATCCATGCACAATTAAATTCTCTTCTATTTAGTAAAATAAAAATTGGGGTATTCCATTTGAAAAAATTGAGTTATGAGTATTTAAATTATTACAAAAGTAACCTTAAAATTTTGGGATATGTTACTTTTTTTTCAAAATTTGAAAACACCAGAAAAAGGATCTAAGCTTTCTCTTTCAAACGCCAAAAAAACGAATTTAAAATCTTTAAAAATTGCAGAGTTACCGATTTTTAAAGTGGAAGATCCAAAAATTTTTGGAAAACTCCAAATATTTCAAAAACGGCTAAATTTAGGTATAGGGAAAGCTGATGAAAACTCCCTTAAAATAACTCGATTAATCCAAAAACGTAGTAAAAAATATACCTTTCCATTCAAAATAAGAAAGCTGAGACCGACTTCCGGTATAAGCGGAAGTGCCGCCATCTTGAAAATTTTTTTAATTTCGGAGGACTTAATGGTTTATGGCTATGTAACAATTTTCAAATAAATACGATTATTCGAACTTCCAATACTTCTAATGTGGAGTTTAGATGGAACACCCTGTATAAGTCCAAAATCAAGAGAAAAATTAACTTTTCTTTTCACTGAATCAGAATAATGAAGTTTTAAGTACATATTTGCTCGTTTTAGGTAAAGCAAAAAATGTTTTTCCTTTGCAGTTTTGGCGTAAAATCAAAGATAAAATTTTTTTTCGTCTGGGGACATACTGTATATTGAAGAATATACTGGGCAATTATAGATGAGATCAACTCGCGGGGCTCTACGACTGACTACCTCCATAGCTATACGACAATTCCAAAAGTCTGCTTGCATGCAAACCAGCCATGATCATGAGATTCGTTCTAAATAAATGTAAAGTTGAACACGCATAATTTTAAAACATTATTTTTATTATGCACTACCAGACAAATTCCCTAACACTAAACTCTAAGTACCTACGCCGCTGTTTTTACAAGATATAACGGCCTCCTAAGCCCGCCAACTGTTACATGCAAGTTTCTAAAAAAGGTCTAACGCTATTAACATCAACTTCCCAGCTTTAGAACTATCAAGTAGCAAGTTCCACAATGAAACCATAGCGGGAGAATTATAAAGTTAGTTAAGCTTTGGTTATAAGTAAAGCTATTACTAAACCGGTGCCACCAATGACTCAGCCTACTCTCTCGATTGATTCCGATAGACAATTAATCAGTTTTATAACGTCCGTTAAGTCGAACAAACAAGATCGAGAACTGAAAACAAACGTCCAAAGGACAAATAATAACATCTCAAGTTCGGACAATTTGATCAAATGAACTCTGAAGTGTTGCGACTATGTGTTATTTCACTTGGAAATACAGAGAGCAAAAGGAAATTCGGGCCGCTGACGGGGTCAGCCGCAAACATTCCGGCTCCAGAATTGCATCTATTTCTTGCAACCCGCCCCCAAATCCCTTATCCAACGTCTAAAACATGCCACGAAATGCCTGAACCAAACGAAGTTGAAAACTTTCATCGAAATTAACGGAACTTCGGTGTAATCACTACGGGAAAAATCACCGTCAGCAGGTTATGGGAGCTAGAAAGGGCGAAGCTAAACAAGACAAGGGAGATCGTAGACAGTAATATATCGTGACGTTGGATGAGTGGAGTAACGCGAATTTTATCAGTGTTAGTTGCTATAAGCTTCAGCAATTACATTCTTGTTCCATTCCGTGATTGTACAATAAATATACATTTGAGCTTTGAAATGAAAACAAAATCGATAGCACGTAAAGTTGTTTTCAAGCTGGAAGCATAAAATTGTGTTTATTTAAGAAACATGAGTAATTCTTGAACCGAGATGTACAAAAAACTAATTAGCTGAT